GGAGCTTTACTTTATGTTTGCATCATCAGTGGTATTGTATAATTATGGAAAGGGTTAAGATAAGATACGTACGTCGATGTGTAAGTACATCTGGGTAACCGCACGACAACTCACGGTAATGATAATCAATACTGTTACATATATTCCCTCGAGTATGTAAGATGTTTTCAACAGATCTATTTACATTCGTATAATTGTCAACAATAATATTGAAGAGTTGAAAGTTTTGACAAATAGTTTTCAATATGCTGGTTCTTTTGCGTCTTACACGAATACAAAGACAATACTCATCACCGTGTCGTGTACTTGGGTGTAACACTCTCAAACTAGAACTAGCTGCAATAACTGATTCATCTCAGATGCCGAATAATACAATCATTAGGGGGGAATACGGTCGTAATATCGTGCTGATACACTTAGAAGTACAGTCCCGGTAAATCCGAATGAAACCTTCCCCTGGCATAAGTTTGATTTTATGGAAGACAAACTGTCAAATACGACGTATATACTGATGGTTCAGCTGTACAAATGAAATGCTAGACGAAATATGTACTCATCACGCAGATCGAGTCTATTCCACATGAAGCAGGTGTCAAGGACGTATAGATCGTTGAGTAAAGCATGCTTAACAACCCTTACATATCAATCTATTGAAACAGCGCCAACAGAATGCTCATTCACAGCATGTTATTACCCTCTATGTAAATCAACACTCTTTAGGAGGAACATCATAAATCAACACTCTCTTTATGAGGCTGAATATGAATCAACACTCTTTATTACGCTGTTTATAAATCAACACTCTTTATTACGCTGTTTATAAATCAACACTCTTTATTAGGCTCTATATAAATCAACACTCTTTATTAGCTGTTTATAAATCAACACTCTTTATTAAGCTGTTTATAAATCAACACTCTTTATTAGGCTCTTTATAAATCAACACTCCTTACTTAGATCTATATAAATCAGTCTTTTAGAATCATAATTTGAACTTCCCGCCAGCGTCTTATCGAGCTGACTTCAGTAATGACAACACGTTTCCCTACGCCCAGCCAAGACCATAACACTATGGACCTAAAAGAAGCAAGTCTAGATTTTCCACAGGTTCAGAATTTCTCATCTCACTGGGGCTTTTTATCAATTTTTAATGGATTTATATCTTGCTATCAAAATAATATATTTTAGTTAGTCTACAGGAGGCGACGAGTGCCATGTATCTTCACAGTGGCAGACAATAAACCATTAAATTAAAGTCAAAAAGGGAAAACTAGCTACTTCTGCATCAATCCTAAAAGTGTTCCTATTCTTGATGTCTTCTTGTACATTTCTGCTCCATCAACAGCACCCTGTTTGCTTTGTCCGTGTGCATCACGATTCTCCTGCATCTGAGTCGGATTGGTAAGTTCTTGCTGTGTCCAACTGAAGCTGCGACGTAATGCAATATTCGCCCACTACTCTGTGACTAACACTTGATGTAGATGATATAAATCATCACAAGGAGCCTTAAACGAATAAACCATCGAATCTTCCGTTGTAGAGTTGTATCCCTTACTTTTCCAAGGATCCGCATCTGCGGGTTAGCTCTATGCATAAATATGTAGTACCTTCCACTGATACATTACCCATCTGTACTAAAAATAAGAAAGATCAATGAAACAGTGTCACCTGTTACACGTCTAGATTTATGTTTAAAGATTCAGAGACAGAATAAAGTGTTCACATTTCCAGCAGTTCCAGTCTGCCCTTATTGTCTACAACGGTTTGAGGTACAATCGAGCATGCTCTTTCTACGAAGATTGCAAAGGGCGTCATGCGACTCTTGCTCGGATGATCTTTGATGAAAGTTACAGCATTCCAAATTTGTGACCAAAATGATGTCCTACGCTATTCCCGATTGCCTTGCACCATGTGTTCCAATATTTGTTCAACTGAACACTTGACCGGCATCCGCTTTACGGAAGCCGCTCCATCTTTTACACCGCCGAGGCGGTGAACAGTGCAGGGACGTACCAAGTGAACAATGACGCCTGTCACCTGAGTCAGATGATCAGAACTACGGCTTCAGGGTGTGATAGCCTTGGCCTCAAATTTCAATCGTGCGTCATCACACGGGACGAAGCCATGCGCGCATGGGAGACGTGCTTCTGTTTCCAGGGGTCAATTTAGACCGAGACAAGCTACATTTACAAGTGTTTCAGACGGTAAAACAGTTACAAGGTTTTCTGAAACAAATTATTTGTTAATTTGAAAACGTGATAGATTTATTTGATTTGATTTCTAAAAAAAATTTAAACGGATGAAAATCGAACTTAACGTCGTGCCACGTCATGTAACGTCATGCCACGCGTGTTGTGTAATCTGTAATCAGTGTCGTTTTTCAACCTTGTACATGCGCGGATGCAGGAGGGGGTGCGGGGTGCTCACATACTCGTGACTACAAAGTGCTCCCCTCCTTTTCCAAAATGCACGCAAGCTGAATTTCCATTACGCGCGTCATCAATGTCAATACTATGTAAGTAAAACCCTTTCCTTATTCAGAAGAAATCTCGGCTGATAGCAGAGCCGATTGTGCGATTACGACTAAATCATGAGAATCTAATTATGAATCACTATCAAACAGTGATGACACCAGGTTTTCGCGAAAACATTTGACACCCGTCACAAACACATGAACATCAAACACAATAAGATCTGGTAAAAGTCAAAGTAGGAAATAGGATCGGGCATCAGTAAACTATAATAACGTCGCACTAGTAGCAGGCTAATCATTTTCTTATCGGATGAACCATACTGTATTGATTTGATGTCACTCTGGATCAAATAACATCCAAGGAACTATTTTTTGGAGTATTAATATCAACAGTGGGCGAACTTGACATTCGGTAAATACGAATGACTCTTTCCATAATAAAGTTATGAAACATTTCATATCCTAAAACGAAATGTATTTAAAAAGCAATCAGGGAATATTTAATTATATAATTATATAATGACATGCTAGAAGAACGCGTGACTGCTCCAGAAGAAAACATATTCAAAACGTTCCTCTGCATAAAGATTCCCTTGCTTATCGTTTGTGTGTGACGTGAGAAGCGTTGGTAAGCTTCTAATATGAGCACGTACGTTCCTTTGGCGGGTATTCATGAGGTCAGCTGATTCTGATGTACTCTCTTCGACTTCGAGGTTTTAGTTGTCGATTTATGCTTCTGGTGGTACTAGTTATTACACATTTCATTTATGCTCTTTCAGGTCATTTCAATATAACATGCATTGTAGGGCTTTTGTAATCATCTTGTAACATAAAAAATGTACTTAAAACTCTGTAATCACCGATTCAACTGAACGTTGTGTAAACATTGCGTGTAGTTGTCAGTCAGACACTTTTCATGTTACAGTGTAACCATTTGCCGTTTTAGCTGCGCGAACATGTTACCTATTTGACGATGTCGTGTGTTGCCATCCGGGGTAACAGATTGTCCGTACTAGATAGCCGGATCTCTTGTCATGGGTGAGAGGCTGTCCACGGTGTGAGAGACTAAGTGTCCGGCGTTAGACCAAGTCCGGTCAGCTAAACACGCACACAAGTTTTTCTCTCGTTTGAGAGAAGGGGCATAGTTTTGGCAGGATATTTGCACCTTGCGGAATCTTTAAGCGTCTTGTTAGTTTCAACAAGTTAATACACTTCTACAACCGGTTTAACTGCGGATCCCAAATAAAGCCCACTTAACCGTGATAAGTTGAAATATTGTTCAAAGCGGCACTAAACCCAAATCCTATTCACTCCGACTCCGCAATTGTGAACTTTCACATTGCCATTTTCTTTATTATGTATTTAGGTCAAAACTAACTAAAATAATATATGTTCAATAAGTGCAAAGGATCAGGATTAGTGATACTCTTAATAATACACAGGGAGAGGGTTGGATTGGGGTTGTGGGTTGTGGGTGAGGGATTGGGATTGGTGTCAGGACTTTTCTCCTAGAAATTGATGCAAACCATTGTTATGCTTCAGACAGTTGACAAAAATGATTGTCAGTATAGAAAGTATAAACAATATAAACAGCTGTAACAATATCCAGTCTCCATACAAAATCCTAGTATCATGATACCCCACCAACCCCCCTTCCTTAATTTCAAGTGGCCGGTTCCTACTCGGCTACTCTTACCGTTATTTCCACTCCCCAAAAGCACACATATCCTCACCTCACACACACAATGGTAGGCTGAAGGTCTCTAGTTTCCATGACAGTGAGTGAGTGAGTGAGTGAGTAAGGTTAAACGTAGCTTTTAGGACTATTCCAGCAATATCACGGCGGGGGACACCAGAAATGGGCTTCACACATTGTACCCATGTCGGAGTTTCCATGACAATCATATATGATGTGGGTCATGCTTGGAGATGCCACCCGAGGCATCTTTCTAACCATCTTCGCGAACACCTGGTGTCATCACTGATTTTCAGTGATCCATTCACACACGTTTCACGGCTCTGCAGCCTTGTACACCAACAGGAATCGAGAGTTGTTATTCTCTGGCATTGACTTTTTATATTTATGACCATCTTCCCGGGTACTGCTTCCCTGAATCACCACAAAGATTCGTGTAGGGAGACCCGTGTCAATAGCCATCATAAGTTCATAGCATCACTGAGGTATCGCAACGTGTCTCCTGGGAACGCCGATGCTGCTGCCTCGCCGTTTGATCCAGCGTGTAATTACTCAGGCTTCACTGGTTCAAACCGCCGTTAATAGTAAGCATTTAGCTGTCAGTGACCACAAATCCAACCTCTGACATTCTGAATTCTAAACTGCAGAGACCGCAACGAGATAATCTGTTTTTGACTTGCGAATTATTACCGTACGTGTGAGAAACAATGGCATTGCGGACAGCTGCATCCGCCATCAACTCTTATTTCAATTTATAAATGTGTTTTAACATGTGCTTGACATTGGTTGCCGAGGATGTGTGCGAACGGTTTTCGTTTTCAACAGAATTGGTGGACATAGTATTTTGCTTGGTCCGAGATGTGGAGGACGTTGGGGATGCTATGGTCTTAACGGTGTTTCTGACATGATCTTAAGGATGTGACCTTGGACAAATTAAGAATCTTGTGACTTGATGAAATTTAGACAAAATGGGAAATTGTGTGTCCGGCCATTGTTGTCAAGCAGCAGCCGATGGAGTTAGAGGACGAATTAATTATTCGTAGTACAAGTATATTGCTATTTCTACGTAATGGTGTCACTGTCACAAAGTGAAGTGTTGCTCACCTTGATTCGATATGCACAGATAGACTGTAAGTAATTTGCATCAATCAATTCATTATTGAAAATTTAAAAAAATGTTTTTTTAGTTTACATTTACATGGTTCTCGTAATGTAAATATGTGACCGTGTAACGCAATTGAAAAATATATATGTAAATGCATATACATGTGTGACATGTCAATACTAGATATGAATGGGTCACTGAAATTCAGTGATGACGCCAGGTGTCCGCTCTACCTGTAGCACCCGCACTCAAACAATTTGCCCAAAATAGTAATTGCTTGTTTGTTGCCTAGCACCGCATCCAACAAACATCCTGCCATATTCATATATATTTGTGAGCTTTACATACTTGTGTGTAAGCAAATCCTTCATTACCCAAATTGAACAAATCTGTTTACACAAATGTGTGAAACACCCTCACTGTTGTTAATGCTAGTTTTTTGTTTTGTTTGTTGTTTAACGAAGCATTCTGCATTATTCCAGCTATATGATGGCGGTTTGTAAATAATCGAATCTGGACCAGACAATCCAGTGATTGACATCATGAGCATCGATCCACACAATTGGGATACGATGACATGCATCAACCAAGTCGCGCGAGCCTGACCACCCGATCTCGATAGTCGCCATTTACAGCAAGCATGGGTAGCTGAAGACCTATCTGAAGACCTATCTGTTAATGCTAGTACAAAGTTCGGTGTATACATATGTGTATACATGTGAGTTTGCATAATTACATGAAACCGACGGTAAACTACATGTTATGCGTGCTTTAACAACACATACAACACTAACATACAAGAAACAAGCGCAGAAGAGTTGCACGTGTTCAGCTTGTCTGGTTCGAATCTCAGAATGTTCCTTGGTATGTCTGCACCGTATCTGCGGACGTTTGCTGTGAACATAAAGCTGACATAAAGTTTGACATAAAGTTTGACATAAAGTTTGTGGAAGGTGCCCCCTGTGTTTCAGGTCCTATGGTGATTTGGCGACACACGTGAGATGTTCCTGAAAGAGTGAGTGAGTATAGTTTTACGCCGCTTTTAGCAATATTCCAGCAATATCACGGCGGGGCACACCAGAAATGGGCTTCACACATTATACTCATGTCGGGAATCGAACCGGGGCCTTCGGCGTGACGAGCGAACGCTTTGACCACTAGACTACCCGATCACCCCGTTCATAAAGGAGCAAGTCGATATAAGCGTGACTATTCACAACCTCAATTTCTTGCATACACTCATGAACCAGTCCACACCCACAGAAGTAGAAGCGAAAACAACATGTGCAAGAATTAGGAAAACAGGTCTAAAATCCTCCTTAGAAGACAAATGGAGGAATCATGTACCACGTATGAGTCATCTCCCTTATAATCCGATCAGGATCAGAACATCTATCCACGCAGAGCTGTGTGACTGTACATAAACAGTCGTTCCAAACCTGAATGTGTATCATAGGTTCATCGTACGAAGGTGAAGGGTCTGTCTCACGACATTGTACCAACCCCGGGCAGCATCACAGGCTGATGTTCTGTTAAAGGTTAATTTGACGTGTTTCAGTCACTGTCCACGTGATTGTCCTCATCATTACCTTAATAACTGTGTATTCATTATCTACTGGGAAACATTCTCTATCAGTACGATAACATGCATGTAGGAAGGATAACATGTACCTCACAGGGCCGAAGCTTGTCCTCTATGAGCCCCGAACAAGCATTCACAATGACAGGGGTTACTCACAGCACTCTCTGACACAGCACACCGAGATGAACTTCTACTCGATTTCCAAAGCTCGATGCATGTCCTGTCGGTGAGGAAGTTGTTTTGTACTGTCAAACTGCGTTTCTCCCAGGAATATATTAATGAATTCTTTGTTTAATTTCAGTTTTGAAACATGAAGTTTGATGAGATATTGAAAGAGGTGGGTGAGTTTGGCCCCTATCAACGTCGAGTGTATTTCCTGGTGTGTCTGGCATGTATAACTTCCGCCTTTCAAACCATGCTTCCGGTGTTTATTCTGGATATGCCCGACTACAGGTGAGTGTGCAACCTATAAATGTCCTAAATTCTATTAACTACTGAGTTATGTCAATACAATAATAGAAATGATTAGGATAACATGCTGGTATCGTTTTTCTATTTGAATTGTTTGCAGGCTTTATATATCGATGTGTACAACAGTATAGTGAGTGAATATGGTTTTACGCCGCTTTTAGCAATATTCCAGCAATTACACGACGGGGGACACCAGAAATGGGCTTCACACATTGTACCCATGTCGGGAATCGTACCCGTGTCTTAGGCGCGACGAGCAAAAGCTTCAACCACTAGGCTACCCGACCGCCCCGTACATCTGTAGAAGATTACATGGACATTTTGCCATTCTACGATTCCGACATATAAGCATGTGTTTATAAGTAGCTACCCGCCCACTTTCGCTATGTTGACCGCGATATATGACGATGTGTGAAATATCGTACTTGGTGAGTACACACGACACAAGCATGTTGCATTACGATCACTTCACGAGATTACTACGATGTCACTACGAAATCATACAAATGTTGCACGTTATAGACTATCTTGGTACGTCTTGAGTACGAGCTAGTTACGAGCTTACTTCGACATTAACTCGACGAGTTTATCATGCTATCAACAGGACTAAACCGGAACCGGAACAGGACCGAATTTTGGTGCGTTTTAATGGTATTCGGAGCTTAAACAACACAGTACTTATCGCAGCAACATGGCACATCAGCAGCTGACTGTTGATTACAAGTACAGACGTATGTGGTGGTTGCGGCCACCATCAGGGTTGTCCGCAGACGTGAGTGAAAGGAAGGGGAGCACAAGGTTTGGATGAGGACTTGGCTTCTACGTCGGCTGCAATACGGCTTCTGCTTCACCTAATGTAGGAGTTGGCATGAGAGGACAGGACAGGGTTCAAGAACATCCTGCTGGTGGACCTGGAGGTGGTCCTGGAGCTTCTGGATGGGGTCGGTTAAAGGACAGAGAGGCAGGTGACCTGCGTGAGGAACCACTAGGTCCAGGTCTACACCTGGCCATCACTCTCCGCTACCTGGCGACTGGCCACAGCTCCAGGACTCTCGAGTACGGGATCAGGGTGAGCAACAACACAATCTCCCGTATTGTGTCAGCCTGTACTCCTTACACCCATTGTAGAAGCGGGGATTGTCTCTAAACCATCCCGACAGCTCTTCCTCCTGTTCAAGAGTGAAGGGGGAGGGTTTAGCATTCGGCTTCCTCTGTGCCTGGGACCTTCTTAGACGGGGTCAGTTGTTTAGTATTCGATCAAAGTTGCCACAAATTTTCAATTTGCTGGGAAAAACTTGAATCTGCTCTCCCCTGTGAACATGACTCTTTGCCTGTTTCTGTTCTACCAGCGTTGCAGGGTCAGCGTTACGTTAGTGGTCTGCAATCTGTGACACAGCCTTCTGGACACTGTCCAGCGACTGACAGCATGACTGTCTCAGTTGATGACATCACAGTTATATTATCATTCCTCAGATGGAGGATACACATGTACAGTTTCCTGGGTGGTGATGAGAGGATGTCTGCCACTCCCCTCCCTCTTCTGGCTGAATCAGGCAATACGCTTGGTGACTATACATTCGTCTTCAGCCAAAACCTCTTGCAATGTGGTCATACGTTGTGCCTTGATGTATCATGCCAACAGCTTGTTCTTTCTGTTGTGGGGTTAATCTTAGCATGCTACTGTCCAACGGTTTGGGTGTGAATGAACCATAGATCGTTCCTTTTATACCCATAGCCTTGTAGGTGTTTCCAAGATTCTAAGATCACCTATATCTGTGATGTTTAAGTGAACTTTTAAAATTCCTTCCATTTGTTGAAAGGAAATAAGACGTAAAATATCTCATTTCAAATATGAAGAAAGGGAAATCTCAGCCTGTAAAATTTAAGACAAAAACATAATCCTGCCTACCCACCCCCTACACACACACACACACACACACACACACACACACACACACACACACACACACACACACACACACACACACACACACACACACACACACACACACACACACACACACTTTTGTAACTGATTTACATCTCTCTTTATGGTCTTGTGTCTTAAGTGTCTGTTGTGGTACTGTAATTTTGCTTCGTGTCACCATGCCCTGATAAAGTTGGTTGTTACTTATACTATCAATCACTGGTTGGCTTTTTCCAGATGTGAATATTTACATATCACATGGTCTAGCTGGAATATTGTTAACTTTGTTGTTAAAAAAACCATTCAGTACTCACATACAATTGTATTTTGAGATACTTTAGCAACTGTAAACATAAAATACAGACTGAAATGAATGCCATGTAAACATTTTCAGATGCAAGCTTCTTTCTATGCCAAACGACACCTACAAGATACAAAACCCATATCACGCCTCTCTGGTGAACCGGTCTGTTCCCATAGAAACCGATGACCAATCAGAGAGTTACGCTTCATGCCGCTTGTATGACGTCACGAACAGTTCTACATCGTCGCACGGAGGCAACCAATCACAGACAACGTGTCATGGATGGGTGTACGATCAGTCGACTTTCACATCCACCGTAATAACTCAGGTACTCCAATGTTACATCGATCTACACTAACGTGACGACAAGTATCATGCCGGGATTTAATTGACTTGCCATTGGGATCTGTATTAGGAAAGTATGTCCATCAGTCAACTTGTTGAATTACATTAGGTTGTCTAGCTTTTGTTGATGAATACTTTCTTAATAGCTAATATCGCCTTGTTCGTATATCATCCGTGGTTTGTGAACACCATCCCGTGCTCGATGGGTTCACAAAAATGGAAAATGTTCACGACCTCCTTATTTTGACTTATTTCAAATTAAATTGACACGCCATCATACAGCTGAAACACTGTTCAAAGTGGCGTTAGACCACTCACTAACTTAATGACAGGTTACGGAAACGGGCGAGTGCCGACGAAGGCAATTCGGTATGCTACTGACATCTAGACACACAGAAATAACTTAATATAAATGGTATATGGCGCGAAGCCCCCATTGACTTGTACTTTCACTTATGGCGATGATCTGGTTTCATTTCAGTTTGACATGGTGTGTGATCACGCTTCTTTCCGCTCCCACCTCAACATGGTTGGTTTCGGGGGAATGTTGGCAGGGGCTGTCGTGTTCGGCATCATCACAGACATGTGAGCATTCTAAGAACGGCTGTGGCCAATGTGTGAAAGACATGACTTAAAGAGATTTAAAAAGAATAGTTTGTTCAGACATATGCCCATAATGAATATTTGTTTTTGGATTGATGGAAAAATGAACAGTTTGTTTTGTGGAAAATATGTGTCAATAGTGAAAATCAATAGATTGTTTGATGGAGACCAGTATATACATAGTTTGTTGGATATAGTTGGAACCCTCCCCCCTTCCCCCTAACAAATCGGAGGCTCCCTTAGGTTCTAATGTTACACGTGTGACAGACATGACCTAGACTCTTATGCTACACGTGCACATTCTGCTTTTCCCTATAACAAAAGAGAAGCTTGCTAACAAGTTTATAAACTTCTTCACTGATAGGATACAAAACATGCAAAACAACAACTTGACATGCGTTGATTCCATCACTGCTGTCGAAGTTGGGAAACCTTTAGCAAAGAGTCCCAGAAAATCTTGCAGTCTCGAACCTGATTGATATTTATAGACATTTATGCTTATCTATCTGTAATGAAACAGAGACTTATTATGCATGACGGATAGCATGTCACTTGGGGCTCAATCAGCCATCATCAATCCTTAATGACAATGACTGACACCGTCACAGAGGACGGACAACTCAAACTGTAACCCTTAATTATTTAATAGTTATTGTGTGACGTCAGTGCGCCAACTGTGCTAAACGAAAAAGTGTTACTTAAATGATTTAACTTTTAACTTTATATTTCTTTATGCTTATTAATTATGTAAAGTTTGTATGTACATTTTGTAAACGTAACAGTAGCTGTATGACACTATCATAGTTCACATCACATCTCACTGAACGTCACCAGTCAGTGATTATTGATGGAGTGAGATCAGATAGAAGTGAACTAAAATTCGGAGTGTCACAGGGATCTGTTCTTGGTCCAATACTTTCACTATATATACCCTACCAGTTGGAAGAATAGCAAGATCTCATGATCACAGATTTCCTCTGTATGCTGATGATACAGGATTCCAATCAATGTCACAATCATGGATTAGTGAGACATATATATCCTTATACCTTTCTCAAGCAAGACGTCGCCTTTACAGTATTAAAGAAGTTGTTATTCATAACTTGTGTCTACATTGTCTTCCGTCAACCTCTAAGCAATGCCATTTCAAACCAAGCCCAAAATTCAACTTCCCAATATACGGGTTTGGAACAATTTTGTTCATCCAAGGTGTCACGCAAGAAACCTAGGAGTGATGATAGATTCAACATTTAAATTGAGAAACCACATGAATAACATTTGTACAAGTGCATACCTACAGATACGGAATATCAGACAATCAGTAGGTATGTGGACAAAGACTCTGTCCAATGCTTAGTCCATGCATCTGTCACTTCAAGGTTCGGCTATTGCGAAGTCATCAGGAAAAGTGTTAAGCTCATCACACGATGTCGAACGCACGACCACATAACACTGGTCCTTAAAGAACTGCATTGAGACAGTGAATTATGTTCAAGCTGCTGCTCTTTGTCTACATGCCAGTGCATGGTCTGACTCCAGTGTACCTACAAGACCCTGCCAGGTGTTACCAACGTGAACGGGCGTTACGACCTCGATGCCAACAACGGAATATCAGCACCTTCCATCTAAACACCATCTTCTTCAAACGAGCATATGACTGTGCACTCTTGAGCAGGGAGCTTCTGGATGAGATAGGCTATATAAATCTACAATTCATTGTTACTTTATTTTACATGGCAGTATCACTGAGTATCCCCAGTAGCTGTGAACTATATAAAGTGCATTAAACCGACAAATATTTCTCCCCAGTGTTGGACGCAAGCGGACCCTCCTTGCCAGCGGTGTCATCCAGGTGGTGTTCGGCATCAGTCTAGCGTTCTCGCCAAACTTCATCCTGTTCGCAGTGTTCCGATTCTTCACGGGTGTAGCGGCCATGGCCACATTCATGATAGCCTTTGTTATAGGTGAGTTTGACAGGTCATGATTTCTATTATGCAGACCCGTTAATGGAGATGATTGTCTTTCTAGTCCCTGTTTATCCTATATTTTAGTATTTAGTTGTCCAGTCACTATTTAAATGATGGCATACATGTCCGACCATATGTTGAACCTATGAAAGTAAATACTTCTCTACCTGTGCATTGAAGAAATCAGTCAATGGACTTTAGTTTTCTTCATTGATCTTGTGATGAACTCAAGTATTACTCGCTTTCAGTAATGAATTTTATGGAGTAAAATCGGAAGCCAAATGATTTATTTCGGCAAAATCCTCATAACGTTTTCTCACGGTGTCTTGTGTACAGGGCACACTTTACAAATCAGTTTAGGTAAAGCAACAATGGTTGCAGATAGTTCTTGGATGGGTGGCAGTGTTCGTCAGCTTTGTTCCTGAGTGTTTTCGGACAACTGTCCAGGCACTTCTTTTTTCAACAGCCTGAAGCATTATAATCTTTTTAAGAACTTCCAGAAACAAGTTTCGGGAGGATAAAATCCCAGGACCTCCCCCGAGCATGTGCTCTTTCTAGGAAGATTTCAAAGTAGCGTCATTCGACTCTTGCTCAATATTTGTTTCATCAGGGTTACAACATTTAAGGTCTAAGGAAAGCTTTCAAAATTTAATGGTAGACATGTGGAAGATATTTACACATTTGACGCATCCGTGACAAAATGACTGAGTTCCAGTTGACTCACCTTTGTATGTGTGGGTGCCGACGGTGGGCAGAATACGCTCACCTCTTCACCTTTAACACCTGATATCATCACTAATTTATGGTGATTCCTAAACTTAGGGTAAAGTCCGAATCATACAAAGGACTCTGCTTGTAGCAGAAATGTCGTATGATTATGAATTTCTGTGTTTCCTTTATGTATCTAGAAATTGATTCCGGTTGGTTTAATATATTATAGGACTTGAACTCGTCGGTCCTTCTAAACGAACCGTTGCGGGAGTGGCCATTGAGTTCTTCTGGTGCTTTGGTCTGTTCGTGCTGACGCTAGTGGCCTACTTCATCAGGAACTGGAAGTATCTTCAGCTCGTCATGACCACGCCTTCTCTGCTTTTCATAGCATATTGGTGGTAAGAAAACGGGTCTCTGAGCGAGAGCCAGTTACTTTTCTGGGAGTGGGAGATGTTTGCGTGCGTATGTGTGTGTTTGTTTGTGTGTCGTGTGTGTCTGTGTGCTTGTGTGTGCGTGAGCGTGCAAGTGTGTGTGCGTGAGTGTGTGTTGAGGGGGGAGGAGGTCATGGGTTGTTGTTTGGCAATGTATTCTTTCAATCAGTGCTTCAGAATATTTCGGGCGGTCGAAATATTGGTTAAAGCGTTCGCTCGTCACGCCGAAGACCCGGGTTCGATTCCCGACAGGAGTACAATGTGTGAATCCCATTTATGGTGTCCCCCGCCGTGATATTGCTGGAATATTGCTAAAAGCGGCGTAAAACCGTACTCACTCACTCAGAATATTGCAGTTGTGTTGACTATCTGTTAAAGAAATAATGGTACATTCATCTACTCAAATTAAATCAAATAAATATGTTTACAACTTACTGACTGACAGGCTAATCCCGGAATCTCCAAGATGGCTGCTGTCACGTGGTCGAGTGGATGAAGCGGAAATAATTCTAAACAAGTTAGCTCGCGTCAATGGCCGTTCCCTGCCGAAGGACACCATGAAGCGCGTTATGCTCGAGGAAGGCCCCGAGATGAAAATATGGCATATGTTCACCACGCCCGTCCTCATCGTCAGGGGAATAATCATATTTTATCAATGGTACGCTATTAAGTTTGGTTTTCAGTTGGTGCATACACGTTAACAACTCCAGAAAATCTTTGTCCTGCCTAACCTTACAATGCGATCCAATGAAGGCTCAGATGTTTTTTACATACATACATACATACATACATACATACATACATACATACATACATACATACATACATACATACATACATACATACATACATACATACATACATACATACATACATACATACATCCGATATGGTTTCGTTCAAATATGAAAACCTGAAACGCCGAAGGTAATCGATTAAACACTTTCCATAATCGATTTCAGTAAAGTGGCAAACGTCTATTGTGCAATGATATAACTGAAATGTTGTTCAATCAGTGTAAAACCCAACTCACTCACGAATTCTTTGTGTTTTTGAATAAGGTTTGCCATCAACATCATTTACTACGGCCTCAGTCTGAACGTCAGCAACCTCAGCGGAGACGTCTTCCTGAACTTTACCATCTCCTCCGCCGTGGAGACAGCAGCCTATGTCATGTGCATTATTCTCATGGAGAAGACGGGGAGGAAGAAGCTATACTGTGCAAGCATGCTTCTTGGTGGAGTGGCCTGCATTGCCACACTGTTCCCAGTCATCTATGGCCAGAAGTGTGAGTATGTCTAAAATCATCGACCAAGTCTGTCATGCCCCTTGTCCAAAGTGGCACACGTCACTTCAAACACTTTAAACCCAGATTGATGAGATTCGAAATATATACTTAGAGTCCAATTCCGTTGACCTTGGCGTTCTTTACTTCATCATAAGAAGTGTGTTAGAATGGTAAAGATTGGGTTCCAAGACCGGACGGGACTATTATCTTTGAAGAAAATTCTCAAAGTAACGGGGATTATCTTGCGCCTGAAAAAGACATGTGTTGGTTTGGGACATTTTATATTTTGTTCAGTTGTTAGGATTTCACTTATCATCTGATCACATGGTGTCCAAACATCACACAGGGAAAAAACACCGACATTCGCCGTGAGGAATTGCGTCCCTTAAGCGCACCGGAAACCTTTAACCGCGGGTTCGAATCCTAGATTCGCCCTGACCATGTGTCTAGGTTTGTCAGCACCATATCCGTGCTCATGGGTTCCATCAAAGTGGTAAATATCTAGGACCTGCATCACTTCGGTCGTTACTCCCGCTTGAAGCTGACACGCTGTGATACTCACTCAATCAAAGCATCCTCCATGTTTCAGCCCACCAGTGGATCACGGTGACGTTGGCTATGGTGGGCAAGTTCGGGGCCTCGGCGGCTTTTGCGGTGGTGTATGTTTTCTCCGCTGAGATCTTCCCGACGGTGGTGCGTCAGTCTGGCATAGGGATGTGTTCCATATTTGAAGGCATTGGCGGTATGGTGGCTCCATATGTATCGGATCTGGTAAGGCCAACACATAGTAATTGTTTCTTGATCGGAATCGATCCAATCAAAACCTATGTCCTATTGAACAGAGTAGATGCTAGCTTGGTGTGTTATGTTTAAGTAGTCTGGTTACGAAAATCCTGGTTCACAGTTTGGTAGAATCATAAATTGCAAGATGAGTTCCCAATGGAGCAATTAGAGTGTTGTCATTGAAACCAAGACAAAACCTTTTCCCCATATTACAGGGCGTTATCGTTGGAGGAAAGTTAGCTGAAGCCCTGCCACTCATTGTGTTCGGATCTATCACTGTTTCTGCGGGGCTGTTGTCGTTACTACTTCCGGAAACAAAAGACAAGAAGCTACCAGAAACCATTGAAGATGCTATAGTATTCGGAAGGTATGGTAAATTCTTATATTTTAAACAACGTCCTGTGAAATAGTTTCCTTCCTAAGAGACAGAATCGGTCCGTAGCTCTCTTTTGCTCTTCATAAGATGCGACTAAAATGGACCGGGAAATGGCGTCTGTGACTTGTCACTGATTACCTGCCATCGAACACCAATATCGTTCCTGTTGCGCGTTCGTTCAGTAACTGATTCGATTATACACAGTGACTGGTCTTCGTCAGAGGTGAAATATTGCTGGCTGTTAAGAACTAGGGGAGATATAACACAGCTTAATCATCAGCTCCAATAAAAGCTTGTTTTGCCAACAAAGCTAACTACCTATAATTATATTGGTACATGGTCATCTTTCCATTTCCAGCTGCAGCCCTGCCGTGTACATACCTATTACCTTTACATATTCTTACGTTGATGTTCTGTAAATATGTTGAACCATTTACAATGTTTCATTAAAAGTTATAATAAACAAGAATAATGTCTCTCTGCCACTTTCAGGAAAGAAAAGTCAGACACCTATGCCTACGATCCAATAGTATCTAAAACTACACGGGAAATCGTGGTCGATTCCAGTCTATAGTATTTACTACCTCTACGTCTACTGCGACGTCATCGCTGACGCCAGCTACACTTACAGATATGCCATGGATGGGACGAGTGCATATCAGGAACAACACAGTATTTTCATGTCTTAGACAGATAATTTTCAATCATTTATCACAGATCTTCCTTCATACAACATCCATGTACATTTAGTCATACTAGCAGCTGATTATGCAGAGATAGATGTCTAAATAACAACATGTGTACACAGGCCACCGATATATATATATATATATCAATAGAGTACATTTGTAATAACTCATATACCATAATATTTTATATGACATTAAATGTAATTATCAAATCTGTGTTGTCGTTTTGTAAACAGAGAATACTACATTCATTCTCGTTAGATACAATTTTACGAAACGAGTGAATTGCTATGGTATCTGCCCGAGCGAAGGCTCCAGATCCTGTTTTATCCTTTCTTCAACTTATGGTTATTTAAGTGCATTGTTGTTTGTACGCAGGACACCTATAAGAAACTTTTAAGTCACATTAGCGCCACGCTTTGAATGTCAAGGTCAACACCGGAATAAAAAAACACAACCGTGATCTACTCACAGCGTTTTACTCTAGAGATAGAGAATGTTATGTTCACATTTGGGATGTTTTGGGCCATCAAGTCAGAAGTCAGGCACACTTCTACGGAGTTTTCGAATGATTGTATCGGAAATGTTCACTTTTTATGATCTGGTCGTGCAGTCGTGTATGTTCATTCATGAACAAACCCCTTCGGAAAATACACAAAATACGTTTCGAATGGCGACACTGATGGCACAGCAGGAGTATCAAACCTAAGTCTGAATATCTGTCCAGATAGTTTAAACTAACTTAATTTCACCACTTTTACGTTAAATCAACTTGAAAGTCGCAAAAGTGGTCGGGTGCGTCACGCTCATTGGGACCCTCGATCCATCGGCAGACATTGCATATGGATATGGCTCGATTATATAATGTCTACATTAGCTCTATGCATAACTAATTTAGAATGCAAAGCGAATTTAATGCGTTTGGTTTAATAAAGTGTGCAAATGTCTCTCGCTTTCATGAGATTCCTTCAGTTCTGCCTTGAAGTTGTAAAAGTGAATGACGTCTCGCGATTTTGTATGAATGAAAAAAGTATTTCCGGTGTGACAGAGGTCACGGTTATCCAATCAACACGACTAAAACGACACACCTGTATCTTCACCACGTGGGTAATTATAAATGTTATGTACTAATTGTTGGCTTCCAGTATCCCCTGGGTTGTATTCAGGATACAGATTCCCCTGGTTGACACAAACAGGTCACACAGATTGCTTTTGAAGTGATAAATCATCTGATCCCACGATATTGAGTATGGACCTACTTCAGGTTGATCTTTGTGTCTACAAAGCACTTGGGGAGACTCCTATAATCTGAACAAGAAGATACTCTGCACACATCGCGAGACAAACGTTGAGTGGCTGAGGTTGTTTACCTCAACCCGTCTCCTCTTAATGACATCCCGTGACCCCAGGTCCAGAGATACATTCATAACGCAGTCCACTCTGGAGGGGACGAACCACTCAGGCCAGCGTCAAACAAAGCTACATCAGCGGCCACTTGTTCAAACTTCCTTTGAATAGAGTGAATGAATTGGGTATAACGCCGCTTTTAACAGTATTCCAGTTATATCGCGGCGTGTCAGCTTAATGTGGGAGGAAAGCATGAAGTGATGCAGGTCTCAGACGTTTACCACTTCGGTGAAACCCACGCGCACGGGTATGGTGCTGACAAACGCAGAAACATAATAGGGGCGAACCAGGATTCGAACCCACAATCATAGGTTTCTGGCGTGCCCAAGGGACGCAACTCTGCACAGCGAACCGCGGCGCCCTAGACGACTGGGTCACCCGTGCCCCCCTTTAAATAGAAGTAACAAAACCGTTTCTATAACCATTGCTGAAAATGACAATACCTTTCTGTAATCATAGATGTAAGTGACAAAACCCTTCCCATTATCATAAATAAAAGCGATGAAACCATTCCCATAGTCATAACAAAAGGGACAATCATACCTATGAGCGACAAAACCGTTCCCATAAGATTAAATAAGTGTGACAAAACCCTTTCCATAACCATACAACTGAAACTACTGCTGCACACACTCTCTGTGTATAACTCCAAAACAAACAAACAAACAAACACAGAACAAGACTGGTAATAGGTGGAGGGTGGACGAAGAACTAGTGAGTTTCACGGGGCCTAGATATAGATGGGAACATCATTAGAATGTCAAGGAAGTGCAAAACGAAACAGGACTCATCTGAAAACATGACACGTGACCAACGACGATTAATCCAGTTTGGAAGTTGTGTACAGCATTGGCGTAAGGGGCGCAGAACACCATTGGAATACTCTAATCGTCTGACCTGTAAATCGTAATCCAGTAACCTGGTGAAAGTTTGCAGTGATTTGATTCGCCTTTTGTAGTTCAATATTCAATATTCATTTATAACGGTACTCAAGAGACCACATGCCTATGTTAAATTATAAACATAACGTAACAGTTATACATTTAATAAAGTGTAAATTTGTTCTATGTAATATTGCATAATAAATAAACATGGACAGATTCTGCAGTGCATCGTGGCTTGTACTCCTCAGCAAAGATGAAATTGTATTTATGTTTGGATGGAGTATGTTTGGATAGTAATTTTGTTTGATGTCTGTATTTCTTAACGTTGTAAAAGCTGGACATACTAGATGGAAGTGGTACTCATCTTCGACTGCATTTAAATTGCATTGTTGACAAATTCTCAGTTCTCTGTTAATATTTATTTATCTTCCTTTTTCAATCACTAATTCGTGCGATGAACATCGAAAAGGTACAAAGATTATCCTAAAATTCTTTATATTTATCTAAGCTGAATAGAGTCCTGTACATAAATAACTTTTAAACATTGCAAAGTAATTATATTTACTTGATGCAGACGTTTTTCTTACCAACTTTAGAGATATGTACATTGCAATCTTTGTGTAAATGCTAAACATGAAATATCCAATCTTAAACAATAAATCCTGTTGCCCTATTTCTTTGGCCAAATGTCGTCATATAGTAACATCACACTATAACATTTCTTAGGTAAACGATAGGATGGCATATTAATTGACCTTAACCAGTATTCAATAACCTTAATATATTGTGTAATATATATAGGATATCTGGGTAAAGAACTATGGTTTAGATCTCGCCATGCCTTAGTATTCCTTAGTAATACCGTTTGTGTTTGAATTGTTGCAGATTTTGCATGTGATGCCCATAAATGATGACTAGTAATATAAATGCCACATAATTGTATGAAGTGATAGTTTCTAAAGTACAGCCTTTGTAGAACCATTTTTCATGTCTTGATAATTTCCCTCCGTTCGTAAACTCAGTTTCTTCTGTTCATTCCATATTTACCGTTATATTCCATTGTTCACAATAATTTTCTAGTTCCTGAATTTGTTTCTGTAATCCACCAGTACTTCTTGAAATTGACAAAATATCATCTGCAAATGATAGAAGAAATATATAAACTATATCCGGGTGTAATTGTACAGCATTTGTAAAACTTATTTTCAATTTGAGATTCTTATTCATTTATAAAGATAGAAAATAAAAAGAGACTCAGTGTACAACCTTGTGTTACTCCGAGTTGTATGTCAAGGTTGTTTTTGAAAAAAATACAATCATGAATATTCCTCACACAGGCTTTAAGATTTTCATAGATCTTACTTAGAGGTCGATTACCGGTGCCTACTATGCTGATTTGCTTCATCGCCTGAGAGATTCTACCAAAGAAAAGCAGCAAGGAATGCTGACTGCTGGAGTTCTAAAGGGTGGCTTCAGAAAACTTCGTCCTCACTCGAATTGAAATTGCTTCATTATCGATTTGAAATGTCTTTTGAAAAGCAGGGAGATATGTTGAAGAATAAAATCAAAAGGAATTTCAACAATTGTTGGTTTTGCGTGTCAGGCCAAGAACGTTTTGACCAGCCCTCGTAATCACAAATTGTATCATCAGATGAGAATAATTTCTTAAAATGGTTGGAACAGTCGTTAATTTGAATGTTATTTAGGCCTAGAATTTATTGACCAGCCCTCGTAATGACAAATAAAGGTTTAATTTTGTAATATCAGATTGAATACTAATTCTAAATATGACAAGATCAGCTGAATATTTGAAAAATTCAGGTATTGTATTATCTATTCCAGGTGATTTATTATATTCAAGGTTCCGAAAGCTGTTTAAGATTTTCTCCCTGCTAATTGGTGAATCCAGAATCTCGTCCGAGAGTTCATGTTTTGAATTATTGAATTATCATGTTACTTTTAGAATTTTGATCACTAATAGTATTATCAATGAGAATAAGTTCCAAAAATGGTTGGACCACTCGTTAATTTGAATGTTATGTCGTAGCACATGTTGTGTGTTTAACCTTTTAAGCTCAAACCACTACTTTTTGGAGTCATTAATGCCATTGTTTATAGTGTTTAGTTTTTGTTTAAAATAGTCAATTCGTTTTTGCTTACAGGTAGCATTATATTTATGTCTAATGATTTTGTATTGTTTTAAAGAATCTTTGTATTAACATTTTCTAAATCTATCTAAAGATCTGAGTCGTTCCGATTTTAACCCTTCACATTCATCGTCAAACCAGTTTCTTACATCTTGTCTCATTTTGCCATTTTTTCTTTTGATATCGGATGAAGCCAGACAAAGAATATCTTCAATATATTCAATACTTGTGTCAGTACATGTAAATATACAGTCTACTGATGTATCAAGGAGTTCTTGAACGCTGTCAGATAACATATTTTGTCTAAACTATTCTAGTTTATCATTATCCCCAATAATTTTTCAAGCATTTCTATACTTATTATTCATCATATCCGGTTGTCGGACATGAAGCGCGTATCTGCGTGCGGCACGTTCAAACTATCGGGTGTCCTTTGGTGTCGTGTTTTACAGACATAAACGTTCTTGCATAGGATGTTTGTTTTCAACTCTTATCTTTGTTCTAATACTTAAAATTATCATTTATATGATCCCCTACTATTTGAAGAGTATATATAGTTCATATTAGCAAATATGCCGACCTCGCTTACGAAATGTCACCCTTGCATCCCAAATATCAAGTTGTCCGACCGTGCCGATTTGATATGGCACTTCGCTTGGTTGACACTCATATCTGAACCGTCCAGCAGTACACCACCCTCATCAACATCAACATTGACATTGAGATTATGTTCTATATCCATGACTAAGGAAACTGTGCAATGCCTTGTTTTCAT